CCCCCCCCCCCACTCCAATCATCGCTCCACCACGTTTAAAACTATTTATTTTAGTTGGCGCCATTTGATTATATTATACAGTGATCTTATTTCGTTTCGAATTCATCATATTAACATGATTAGGTGACTGGAGCTATTTATGTGCATTGATCGATAACATTAAAGGAATAGAAAAAGTTCTGTTTCTTTTGATCAGCTATTGGCATAACGGCGATAAAGAAAATAGCTTAAACATATACTGTATCTAATGACAAGCGATAAAATATAAAATAATTGACTCTGTATATCAACTGTACGAAATTATTGGCCCAGCAAACGTCGTAATTTCTTTATATCATGTTACAATTTTTACTTGAAATACAGCTGGTATCACGCTTCTGCATCTTACGTAACTAAGCAAATTTGATAATGAAATGCTTATCAGTTATTTCACTATGATACCACACGATTACAATCGACAATACATCATCGTGCTAAAAAAAGATTCAGACGTCGAAATGATCATTTTTCAGAAATTATAAATTTAAATATTAGTTTTTAATTTGACGATTTTAATATTTTCACGTTACGATTTTCATCTCTAATTAACTTCTAGAATAACGCCATTAAAACATATTGTTTTATTAACTAAGAACGCAATTATGTTCAATGTAATATTATCAAAAGAATGAAAAATTTTTATAAATTTTGGAGTAACTTGTTTCTCTCTGAAGTAATTACCACATTACAGTATTAATAACAATCCCAATTCTCACGTGTTTACCTTCTTTTTCTTTTATATTTAAGGAATTTATGCTGACAAAGTTTTTACAGAATCGATTTGCTGGCGATACGTGGCACTAACAGTAAGTACCTACCACTCGAGAAATGCAAATAAAGGGTATATACACGTCACAAGACATTGCAACATGTGTTAACGATACGCGCTAGCCAATACCTTGAAAAATGTAGTTGGCTAGGTATATGTAAGGAAACGAGAAACGATAATACGCGACAACTTTAACGTTCAACGTGTACTTATGATAACAAGCTAAAATTTCTCAATGCTACGAATATTTACCGACATATTTAGTCCTCTTAAATTATGAATAATTAAAATCAAGGGAGTACTTGAGCTAGAAACTTAATAAATAGAAGTAAAGAGCTCATTATAAATTATATTGAATTGTTTAATCAATTTCCAATGAGTGTCGAAGGAAACGCACAAAATAATATGACTTACGAGTCGAATACATTTTGTATGCATGGATATTTTATATAGCTTCATCAAAGAGCTTTTTATCCCTTAATAAATATTAAACATTTATCTTCAATTCTTTTTATGTTTAGTAGTGTTACTGAATGTTATAATATTTACGCTTAAATCCCGGGTTTAAAATATTTACATTTAAATCGCGAGTTCTAAATGCTCGCTCCTCGTTTCTCATCCTACGCGTCGTCGCGAGGATGACGATATTCGTCTATTCGTCAATTATCATAAATTAAAATCACTTTCACGTTTCACCTCATACTCGATTATTCTTCATTAATCGATAGTGCGAAACGGTCATCAGCCAATATAGCAATTGTCAACATGAATCTTTAAGCGAAACAGTAACGTATAACACGTAACTCATTTCGTCCAAATTAAGTCCATCGGCTGTAATCGTAGCCAGAAGTTCCCCAGCGAGAAATGACTCGTCAATCGATGTCGAATTGGTGTTGAATCGACATCGACACCGTCAAATTGATGTCGAATCGACGTCGAATTTGACATCGTTTCGACGAAACATTTCTCGTCGGGTTTGCGCCCACGGTTTTCTTTCGGTACAGCGCGACCGTCTCCCTACTTCCCGACTTTTAGCGTAAATCATACACACTACGCAATTAGCAAGAGCAATATGTTAAATTAACACATGAATGCGTTGAACATTGAACCCAAAAATTTTTACCGGCATTTCTTTTAAACAAAAAAACACAAATTTTCCAACTGTGCAGGTTGCATTACTTCTTCGCTCTCATTTGTGCAATTAATTTTGCCTCCACGCACTGTTTAACAGCAGTTACACTCGACAGCACGGGCGTCTGCAGAGGGGGAGGGGACGGGGGGTAATTGCCCCCCTGGAATTGAGAAATTGCGATTGTTAAAAATCTACATCGCAAACAAGAAAACTGGAAAAACTTTATCGCATCTTGAACTCAAGGGAAACTTGAATTTAAGCGATACAAATCGTGTTTTTAAACATTGCCTTTTATTCTAACCGCCTGATTAGAAACTAAACTAATCAAAGTTACACTGCATTCGTGAATTTCCCATTGGCACAGTGACGGGCGGAATGGTTGCGACACTTTTCTTTTATGAATTTAGGAACATGCGTTTAGATTTCAAGACCTTCCCCGAGGAATATTTTACTCGATGGCCATTCCGAAACCATTTTGAACAGTTTTCGATCTACTTCTCGAGTTCCTAAACTCATTAAAAAGGAGAAAAAATGTCGCAACCATTCTGTCCATCACTGCACCCCAATAGCTCCAAGAAATTAATAAGTTAAAACCTCTTCAAGTCCCCCTTGACCTCCTCCACTCGACTTTCTTATCTTTCGAGGATCCATGGGGTCTGCTCCCCCGTGGATCTTTTTCCGCGGACGCCCCTGCGCGACGGGTCGATCAAACGTATCGGTTAACGTTCGAAAACAGTAAACTCACCTGTCACCGGTGAACTCTATCACGCTCCTGTCATTCAAGCGAAACCCGGAGTCGTTGTAGCCCCAGCCGTTCCATCTCAGCAACTGCTGCCTTAAACACCAACAGCGACGTAGACGTGAGTGCCGAAAGGCCGAATATAATTATATCCCGCGATACGTGCGCGGATCTCGAAATATTTCAAATTGTCGGCGTGTGCCGCGCACATATTTTTGTCACGTGACCGAATGCTCCGCAGAGCGCGGCTCGTGGAGAAAAAAATGGAAACGCAATTTTTCGAAATTGGCAAACCGTTATTCCGCCCGAGAGAGAGAGAGAGAGAGCCGCCAGATTTTCTACACTGGCGAATAAACAAATGGGACGAGGGAAAAAAAAGAATGGGCTTGTTTAAACAATTAATGACAGAGAACGAGGAAGAGAGGGACCTTGGAAAAGAGGCACGGCAGGTGTTTCTTATCGATCGACATTATTACGATCGCACGATCGCGCGTTCGCGCTCGCCAAGTGTCATTGGAGACGCGGGGGAGTCGTAGGGTCCCGGACGGTGAGTCATGAATTTCGCGCACGTAGTGTATGCGCACAGCTGCGCGAGGTGTGGCCGATCGCGATTAAATGCACGCGCGGCGCACGGGCCAACGTGGGCGCGTTAGGTCGCACGTGCGGCATTACGTGTCGCGCGGGGCGCAACTGCCCCTCGCGGCTCGCGAGCACCGAGGAGCGTAAAAGCGCGTGCCGCCCGCACGCCCGAGACTGACCTGATTTTCGGCACGGTGCTCTCGAACCTGACCGGCTCGCTCGCGCCCGCCGTTTCCGCGCTCGTCCCGTGCTTCCCCTGCTCAGACATATCCGCCGTGCAAAGGGTTTAAACGCCCTCCCAAGTGTCGCGGCGAGATAGCGCCGGAA